CCTCCAGCTTCCAAAATATTTGACCTAGAAGTTTATAGAGTAGTCTTTCAATAAATTAACTTCTACAAAATATTCATTTTCACACAAGTCAAATTGTAACCAAAACAAAACTTATAATAATATCAAGGCAGTGCTCAAACTTGCTCTACTTAGCCTACTCTTGATTCATTTCCTAGTTTTTCCTTCATCATTGTTCATATTGGAATATTAGATATACATTAGTGCATGCCAGCACGTGTGGGTGTCAGTGGATGGGTGAGCACGAGTGGAAGCAAGTTAAATGTATTGTCCATTTTCAAGCTCTGCATATAAATAATAACTCTTCTTCATTGCTAAGCCTTAAACAATATTTTCCTTTTGTGCAGTTTATATCTAATTTATTTGATATTTTATGTGTAAATAATGTAATATTTGGCCATGTATTTGGCACACTTAATAATAGAAATTGTTTCATTACATTTTGAAGGGTCTTTGTTCTTATTGATACATATTTGATGTGAACATCAAAATAAAATGAGTCATCTCATTTACACTATGAACCATTAGCACAATGTAACCAAAGTAATTGTTAAATAATTTAAATAATAGTTTGATTTCAAACTTTATTAAAGTATTCTTTTTATTTCATTCAGGTGAGCAGTTCTGTTAGAATTTAAACACACAGCGTATTTTACAATGATTTAATTGTCTATTATATTCAATTGTTGCCTACATTAATATTTTTAAATGAAAATAAACCCTTTCATTAGTGTGTCCTCATTGTTGTGCTCTTTATGCCTATTCATAATGATAAAAAAATATGAAGTTAAAAATAACCCAGCTGTACAGACCACATTAAAAAATATAGCTGATCTACTGGAGGATTATGTACACATTTATAAAATATCATGTCTGTGTAATGGACATTTTTATTTTTAGAACTATGGACTGCTGTTGAGACATTATCCAGAGTGAAATAGCGTATGTTTTAACACTCTGATCTTAACAACTAAAATTCCACCCACAAGCTTCTTTCTGTAGAAATTTTAGAAACTTATGGTTGTATTTTTAAGATTCCTTATTTTTATTAATTTTTTGCTAGTCATTCTTTTCTTCTGATATATCTAATGATTTCTGAACAAGTATTCTTCAAAGTATTTGTCTCATGTGCAATTTTTCATATCTTGTATATTTGTTGATATGTTCAAACATTTGAATATTTTCTATCTTTAAACTTTTATCTTGTTATATTTCTTTGGATACAAGCATCTGATGTTCTCCTACATGTAATATATGTTATTCTTTGTGTTAATTTTCTGTGATTTGCTACTTTCCTAATGCATTTGTATGAAATGAAATTAAGTTTGTCCACATTGGAAATATAATGGAAAACATCCCACCCTTCACAGTTCAGTCTACCTCTTAATGTAGAAGGAATGTCGGTTACAAAAACCTCACTGACACCATTCTCACTTGTCTCAGGTCAGCTGGAGAAGCAGGTCTTGGACGCATTCAACTTACTCTTCGCTATAGTATTCAGACACAGAAGCTCATAATTATTGTTCATCGAGTTGCGTGAGTGGCTTTCCAAACTATGTAATCAACTTATATGTATAGGATTTTAAGTTTAACAGAAAAAAAAAACAACTATGTCTAATGTTGAAATTGACTTTTGTTATGATCAAATGCTTAGATTCTGCTTAAAAATTTTTTGCTATTGAAATTGAGAACATTGTAATAAACATAATTCTAAATTATATTGAATTGATTATGGGAAAATGGTGTCTTACGATCTTGAGGAAGGAAGTTTGTTGCTTTTGAAGGCACAGTTCAGTAGATTATTTTTTTATAGCTTTTAGCGTTTGGGATATCAACACAAATTTCATTTAAGCTATGTAAGATGCTAAGATCTCTGTACCCAGGATTACACAATGTGTAGTAAGCTACATTCATTCATGAAGTTAAATTTTGCAATTCATTGTGCACTTATCAAATTAGTTGTTTCATCCAGTTATTTATTTTCATCCAGTTTATTATTGAAGTCAATCTATATTTGTATTTTCACTTATATTATCTTATTGATCATTTCATTTGAATGTTTTTTCTCTCATAGGAACTTACCATTGAAGGATAAAGATCATATACCTGATCCATATGTCAAGTTATATCTTCTTCCAGATCGTTCTAAGGATTCAAAGAGAAAGACAGAAGTAAGATGTTCCTTATAGTAGATGTAATTCTATCAGATTATTTCATTACATCTTTTTCATTCATTTCTGCTTTTCATTTTGAAAGTTTATTAGTAACATAACAATACTTTTTATATGTTTGCAGACTTTGAAAGATAATCTGAATCCTGTTTATGATGAACGATTTGAATACCTCATGTCTCAGGCAGAATTGAATTCCAGCCAACTAGAGGTATCAGTCGTTACTAAGAAGAGCTGGCTATCTTCACAAAGTCCTGTACTTGGGCAGGTAATTATAAAATAAAGTAATTCAAATTGCCTAGAAAGTGATGCATACTCGCTCAGTATTTGGCCATAGAAGTTCAGCTTTTTTTCAACACCAGCCTGAACACATACTGAAAGAACTTTTATACCATCATCTTCAAAAGTTCTATAAACAATTGTAAAACAAAATACCTGCCAATTGCCAGTTGAAAAGAAAAAAATTATGTTCTTGTAATTATCAGTGAAATTTGCATCACACTGGAAAATTGTCAAATTGAGATTTCGAATGAAGTATTTTATATCAAACAGCTAAAGTAGTTTTTCAGATACGAAAGGTTTACCAGACTCTTCTATGTAGTGCTGGAAAAATCCACTTTCATACCTTACAAATTATTATTTTATCATACAATTTACACTATGCATTTATTAAAAAATAATAATCAATGTTTTTCTAATGTAGTAGATTGAAAACATTTTTTTTATTTTGCTCTGTGACATTTCGTTGTTTCATTATTAATGTGTTTCAATGTTAATATGTTATGAATATTGGTGCATTCTCAAAGTTTTGCAATTATTTAGGAAAACATTGTTATGAGAGATTAAACATAATGTCAGGAGTTTCTGAAGTAGAATTTATAAAAACATGCTGGTTTTGTTGAAAGTTGTTGGATTTGTAATATTAGTAAAATTCAATACTGAAAAACATTATTTCTGAATATAATAAAAAATATTCCTTGTAAATTTTCAAAATTCTATCAACTTCATATTTGTGGTATTGAAGATGATGCATACCAAATTTTTGTATTCTCAGGTGTACTTCAGATTGTTTTAAATTTCTGATCATAATTTTGCTGTATTTGCAGAAATTTCAGGATAGTTGATGAGAGAGAACCATTTTTTCCCCCCTCAAAAATAATTATTGATGCAATATTTTAACCAAATAAATTTTTAGTAATTTCCTTCAATTCATGTCACTGTACAATGTTCTCATCTTTTTTCTGTTCTTACAGGTTATTTTGAATCTTGGAGATCTGGGTCTGCCCAAGGCATGTACCATATGGTTTGACTTACTTCCAGAAGTTCCGCGAGACTCTTAAACACCTCCCCTTGGTTTCTTCTTCCTGTCTTCTTTCTGCTTGTGGCAACAAAGGATTTTTGAGCAATTTTATATTTAGGTGCTTTCAGCTGATGAGAGCATGTTTGTTGCAAAAAACAATTGCTCAAAAAGTCTGATTGCAAGTAGTGTTATTGAATATTTGACCAAAACCAAACTTGGTCCCTGTCCATGATCTTTTTTTGTGAGATATTGATTCTTTTTGTAAAATAACTTTAAAATACTGCTGCCTTAATAGTAGGTTCTCACGATTAGATCCTTTTGTGCCTGTTCCTTGTGCAGCTGCTGGTTGTCGACCATTGGGACTACCCTCGAGGTGTACTGGCATGGCTGTGTGTTGTGCTGTCTGTTGCCTTCAGTGGCCTTCAGTCTAGTAGTGACTTCTTTTATTGTGCATTTGTTTGAAGTGCTTTGCATTTTAATGGATCACATATACAATGGTAGTGTGTGGTTCCTTTACTCGTTTTTATATTGAAAGTTTAAGCAGCTTTCTTGTTTTATACATTTGTTACATAGTTTATTTTCCATAGTAGATGTGTTTTTAATGTGTCATAACAGCTGTAAATTTGTGATTCTATCTTTGTTTAACTGATTCTTTAAAAAAGATGTGTACATGCTTAAGGTAGAATTTTATGTTACCAGTGGATGAGTTACAAAGATACTCAGAGAATTGGATGTGGGTTTTCTTTACTTGCATGCATAGTAATATTTATTGCCAACTTGTGTATAGAGTTTTATAGCTTTCTAATTGGTGAATTAAAATTTGTAAATTTATTTAGGGTGCCTTTGGAAACTAAATAACATAATAAAAATAATGTACCACTGAAAGAGCTTTAATTTTTACTGTCTTAAAATGACTAACAAACAAAAGGGTACGGAATTTAATTAATTTTGAATGTCTCAAAGTTTACTATGATTTCTCTCTGCTTAATACTGTTCGTAGTATTTGTGATAGAAAATTTTTGGATGTGCATAGAATATAATTTCATGTCAAATAGAGCCATTGATTGAAACGGAACACTGAGAGCATTGAATCATGCATTTTTCATGGATGTTTGTTTGAATACTCATTGTTTTCTTGTAAAATGATACTCTTCTTTGTATATTACATGTAGACAATTGTTTGGATATTAAGATGTTCCCTCCTGGTAATTACCTATAATTAAATCTTTGTCAATTAAAATGTTTACATGAAATATTGGGAAGAAATAATCTTCCTCTATGGCAGCACTGTAATGTTGTACTTAAAAATTGACAGTTTTCAATGTCTGTTTCTACTTCTATTGTTTCTTGTTGTATTGATGTGTTTTTCTTCAACTGTTTTCCTTGTTTATGCATGTTCTTGCATGGTGCACATCCATGAAATTTTTATTTTTGAGCAATGTTGTATAAGCACATGACAGACGTTGGTTGACTCAGAAGTTCAATGTAGAAGACAGGTTGTAAAATGTATTTTGGCTCCATGGCCTTCTTGGTTGTATTATATTGGAAACGGCAATTTAATTTAAATACTCATTAAGCCATTGTATTAATTTGCTTAAAAAACTGCAGATAAGATCTTCAAGTTATTCTTCATGACACTTCTTCCAGCATGAAGATTTGAATAGAATTTCAGAACTATTTTTGTAGGTGATGTTTGATACGGAGAAAGCTGTAGAATAGCTAAAAAGTTAACCTATTTCACAATATGTAGATTCAGCTGAGTTTTACCTCTGAAACAATCAATGCTGTTGTATGAAATATTTGTTATTATTTGTAATTTAAATGTGAATAATAACTGTGATCATTCTTTTTTGTATTATTAAAAAAAGTCTATTTTAATGTAAGTTTCCTCTGTAATGAAGATGGAATATTATAAAACTGTAAATTAAATTAATCTTAATGTATTTCAGTTGCCAGTGTTATCTCAATACTTTATCCTTATTGTCCTTTCCTTTATTTCTTTTGGAACAATGCACATTTCTTATTATTTTAAAATAATTTCTAATTTTTATTATGAAAAATTTCTGAGTAAAAATTTTCAGTCCTTTAAATTTTCTCCTGAAACAATTTATTTGTAATATAGTATTTCCCCAACATTTTGCGAAAGAAAAACTTTTTACTTTTGAGAATATAAATTAAGCTTTCATAGTCTGTTAAAAACCCATTAAATTTTTGTGAAAACATAAAATACATGTTAGAACATTAAAAACCTTATAAGTTATCTACTTAAAGAAAATTGTTCAATTATCACTTCCAAAAAAGAAATTTTTTTTAATGAAGCAATTTAATTTTCAATTAAATCAAGTATCAAATTTCAGTCATGCTAAACACAACAATGCAATTGGACTGTGAAAATTCAATTTAATTGATATATTTTGTGTTCATTATTACAGATTTTCTATAATGCTTGAAAGAGTGGGAGCAGTCACTACGACTGCCATATGAAAATAATTAAAATAATACAACAAATATATTCATCAAAGTTTTTTTGTTTATTCCATAGTAAATTTCATATGTATTTTATAGTATCATATCTGAAAAATTGTATATAACTTTACTATTAATTTTCAAAAATAATAGTCTTAATAGTTTTTATGATCTGAGTCATACACTTGAGACACATTAGATTTTTATCATCAACCAAGGACTCATTTCACACTTGCTACAGATGATGCAAGTTTTATTTCTGTTCCACATCCTAATTTTATATTATTTTCTTTTCTTGGAATCAAATATTAGAGGTGCTCTTTCTTTTTTGTGGTCTTTGAGACAATGGCACTGCTGCAGCTCCTTGGCCAATTTCAGAATTTTCTTTGTACAAGAAACTGCATTTCATCTTCTAGCATGTAATGCATTTGTTCTCTAACCCCATTCACAGATAAACTCATCAAATATTTGCTAATACTAAGATAGATTTAAGTTGCTTTGTTACTCTGACACCAAAAAGAGTAAATTGTTCATTTACAATTATATTAATTGAAAGAAACATTTCCCACATTTTACTAAATGAAATAATATATTCAGACACATGAAAGACTTGTTTTGTAAGCTTGATCACCATTAGTGTTTGATTCAGAATTACATTATGGCACTAAAAATTAATACAAAGAAATAAAAAGTAAATTATTAGATACAAGAAAAAAATCACAGTTTTTGTGCCATAAATATCAAAATTGTATTCCCTGGTGTCAAAATGATTGTCTCTTATCATTAGAATGTTCAGGGGGTTGCCTATAAGTGATGTTCACAAGCTTGGAAAAGATAATGAAACACTGACTCTTGACAGAATTGGGAGGTATATGACCATACTAAAATTTGTTTTATTAAAATAAATTGATTATATTTTAAAACTTCTATGCTTCGTAAAAAATGTTGAATCCCGAAGGTTATGTGAAGAGAATGTCCAAGTTACTGTTAATTGCCAAAGAACTTAAGGACACTGAACTTATTTTCATTACTGTGTTTTTATGGACCTGACAAAACAGTGTACTTAATACCCTTGCAGGTCTATTGGATTCTATATGCCTGTGTCCTAGCCAACAAATAACTCTAATTTTTTATGAATTTGATTTATTATACTTAAAAAATACAAAGACACAATAAATGCATGGCATAGAGGTTAAATAAGAAAATTTAACTCGTCCCCTCTGTCTCAAAACCTTACAAATCAAACCTCCTTAACTCAAAGTAAACTTAGAGGAATCTCGCCAATTCAAACCTAGGTGATTCTGTAAATAGTACACATTTTGATAGAGAGACTAATTGCAATTAGATAATACAAAAATAATTATATTAGTTAATGTGCTTTATCTGACACCATATTGACAACTAACGATTATAATGCATCTTGATGCAAAATAAATTTAAAGATGTGAATTCTCATTTGTTTCAGCAGCGAACTAGTAAACCTGAAAGTTCTGTAGATACTGTGGGCTTTACTTGATATTTTTTTGTCCACCCTTCAGTGTCTTTGAGGCCACAGGGTTTGGAGTTGCCCTCGAGTCAAAAACATCTACTTAACATTCTTGATACAGAAACAACTATTATGGCTTTACAAAAATTGAAGGGCTCAAGAGTAAAATGTAACCTTCAAAATTATAGTTTTTGTAATACTATAATTTTTGGTTCTTCCATCTGTTATGCATGCAGCATGATACTTGTATTTGTGGTTCATACATAGTCTGTGATTGTTGTCATTTTTACATAACCCACTTAAACACTATAAGCCAAAATTGCATTTGCTTGTATTCCAGAAGGATTTCCATGTGGGTTATTATATTTTACTCTTGAACCTTTCAGTTGGTGATATTAGTAGCTGGGTTTTGTATACTTCTGTTGCAGTCATTAATTTTTTGTCATCATTAGAACTTAATTTAAATAAATATAATGATAGTACAATGTTGTTTATTTACTCATCATTTTGTATAATCATATAAAATAAAAGAAAAAGAACAATATGAGTAGTCTTTAGATCCCCTTTCACAGGGAGGTTTTCTTTTGAACATTATTGAAAATGTTATGGGATCCAAAACTGTGAACATCTTTTATGTATGACTCTCCAGGTTGGTAGTAATGGACAATGGATATGTCAGACACGTCATGAAATAAATTTTTTGAGTACCAGAATTTTTTGAGTATACAGCCTTTTCTGTAACAAGAAATCTTTCATAAAATGGCATTTTATGGTACAGCTTATCCTCACTGCCTGTCCTTATACCACTTTTATCACAGCCTCATTAGCCTTCCTCACTATTCGTCCTCCCTGTGTGACATAATGTTACCAACTACAAAACTACTTTTAAATTTATTTCTAAAATTAATTTTGGTTCTTTTCTAAATTTATAATGCAAAAAGTAGCATTCACAACTTTTTATAATACTGCTTTATTGCATTCATAGAAATTTGCAACCTTGCTCCAAATGTTGCTAGTTTTCAAAATATTATTTATGCAATTAAGCATAACATAATAAACTAGTTGCATAATATACTTTTCTGTTATTTGTTTTTGGTAAAGTTTAATAAAAAAATTTATTTTCATGGAGATTTTTTGCTACTTGAAGATATCTAAACTTAAAGGAATTTGTTTTAATACCTGTGGAACTCTTACACACTATGAAAATCCCTAATGTTTCGTGGAATACATTATTCAGTCTTGTTAATATGCAGAATGAAAAATGCATGTTTCATGGTATCTGAATCTGGATTATTGTATTACTTAATATTTGAAAATACTGTTCAATTTCTATTGTTTGAAGTTTGTAGAATTTAACTAAACTGATTACAATGTAGAACACATTAATTATTTATTTATAGTTACAGTGGACAGGCATAGGACATTTATAGTAACAATGATAAAAATTATAATATTTATAAATTCATTCTTATGTATGTTAAAGTAAACAAGATTTTTTATCAATTGTATTAAAACTTGCAATGTTCATGCAATAAGTATGACATGCATTATAAGCATGATTGAGACACTTTTTAAATTAATGATAGTTTTGATATTAAGATTAAGAATAACAGAGGAGGATCTGCTATTCTTTAATTTGAAATAAATAGGGAGCTTGGCTATGTGTTACAATAAATGGCCATTTCTGACTAAATTGTTTTATTTCAGAACATGGCAAAAATTAATTGTAGATGAAAGAAATACATTTTTAATAATATATTTATAAGTAAATTTAAAATTCAGTACATCATACATTACCTTTTAAGAAACTAGTAAACTTTACCAGCTGTAATCTCTAAAGGCTGAAGTTGAGTGAAAGATCAGAATATTTTAAAACGTTTAATATTTGAAAGATTTTAACCAGGAAAAATTATGCTAAGAATTGAATTTTTGAATGTTGATTGTTTTTGAAAATTAGTCAGATTTGGGGAATAATTTTTTCAAAAAATTCCTCAACTTAAGTTTAAAAATCCCAACTTAATTAAAACTCATACCCAATATATTAAAACAATGATTAGCAGCCAATACTTCACGCCATATATTGACAATGTTTTTCATTCAATTTTCCTTGATCTATTAAGCAAATGCTGAGATGGCCCTCCGTTTTGCTTCTGAACATAAATGTAGCTTCTATATGCGCATGTTTTGTTGAGCTAACTTTTTGCTAGTACTAGTGTGGTACCAGTTGAGCCGAAGAATGTGGGTTAATAATAACAATAACAATAATAATATTTATTGAGTCACATATACAATTACAATCGTGTATGACAAGTCAATATGATGGCTTGGGGTGGAGAGAGCGAAGTTACTGTTCAGGAGCAAACAATGGGTCATCTCAGCATTTGCTCAAAGGACCAGGGAACTGAACAAAACTGATCGAGATGGGGTCATTGGCCTAGAAATACAATATTTGTAACAGTTAGATTAAGATATTATACAATAGATAAATTATTGCTAATAATTAATATTTCAAGATGTTATTTAATGCTACCACCTATATAATAACAATTATTATATTATTATTATTATTATTATTATTATTATTATTAATAATATAATAATAAATAATATAATTAATAATAATAATAATAATAATAATAATATAATAATAATAATGGAACAATACATATCAATTATGTTTGCAACTACATCAAATTTAACAATAGTAGTACATACTATGTTTAAAACTTGAAATGGTGAGGAGGAAAATGGAGGTTGCAATTTTGTTGGCTATTCAATAAAATCAAATCTTTTGTAGTAGTCATTTACCTGCACAAATAAGTTTTCTATATTTGTATTTCTCTTGGCAGAGAACATTTCTCGTTTTCAAATGTTACTAACGCTTTGTTGGTACTTTTGTTAATCATTCAACTATGTTCAGTACAAAGGTGGGGAAGGAAATCTGGAGCACAATAAAATCTGTGCTTATTATATTTCACATCCATCATATTCAGTT